CAGCATTCGCTGCTGGGAGTGCATGGCTTGCAGCCACTGCTTGGGCTGAGTATAACTTTTTATTTCATATTAGTATTGGGATTAATAGTAGTTCTTTATTTTATTATTTGTTTATTACATTTATTATTTATTTTATATAATCTGTTTTAGTTTCAACCCATGGGACTTCCTCTTTTCTTGTTCCTGATTCCCGTTCTTGGGTTGGGAGATGGTAATTGGGTGACAGAACAACTGCCTAAACATAGACAACAGGCAAACATCCGGTAGACACCATGAAGCACAGAGGTAGGATATGCAGAAGTTTTAGTGGTGTGGTGGTAAAGCTGTGTGCCTGTGTGCTTCATTAATCTTTTCAGTGGACTTGCCTTTCTAGTGGAATGATTAAAGAGATTTTCACAGGCACACAGAAAGGTTGGGGTTGGCAGGGACATTTGGAGGTCACCTGGTCCCACACCCAAGCTTAAGCAGGGACATGTTGCCCTGGAACACTGGGTGCCTCCACAACCCCCCTGGACAACCTGTACCAGCGTTTGGTCATCTCACAGTGAAGCAGTATTTACTCATGTTGGTGTTCATTGCCACTGGGCACCACTGAAAAAAGCTGGCTCTCTCTTCTTTACACCCTCCCTGCAGGTATCGATACACATGAAAAGAAACATTTATGAGATCCCCCTGAGCCTTCTCTTACACGCACATGTCTTGAATTCTCATGTATTGATAAGGAAATGAAACATCTGAATAAAGATGTGTTACCATGTATTACTATTGACACTCCTTTGATTTAAGTAGAACTTTTATCTAAGTAAACAAAAGCATACAAAGAGCTGGAATTTATCTTTTTTTAAAAATGGTAAAATGGTAATCAATTAAAAGTCTTCCTTATAGGTATTCTTTTTTCTATAGTCCATGCCATGCAGAGAATTGTCATGTTCCTTCATTTCTGAGACCCTAAAAATAATTATTCTTAGAGAAACAGACAGACAGCTTATTTTATCCCCTCTACTTTATATCTTTTTGCCTTACATAATTAGGGACATTACTTCATGATTTGCAATGCCTAGGGAATACTCCCATTAGCAGGGGAATGTTCTCTGGTACCATGAAGAAATGAAAAGCTTTTAAGAGCAATCACTACTAATCACTTACATGACAGCATTATATACCTTCTGGAACTGAGGATGATATATTGACAGGGCACATTAAGTGACTCTCTATTTTACTTGCGTTGTACATTTTCAATAAATATGTAGTTTTAGAACTCCCCTCTGCATGGCTTGCCTTCTTTACAAAATGCAAGACAGATAAGAATTCTGCAAGATTTATGCTTCTTCACGTACAAGCTATTGAGAATATTCTCTTTGATTCCATAGCTGAACTTCATTGGGCTTTTAGCACTATTATACTTCATTACACAATTTCATTTGAGTAGTAAATTGAAAGGGCAAGAAGTAGGCCCTTTTTTAAGGGTGAAAGAAGTAAATGCAACTAAATTTATCTTTACCTTCAGCTCAGCAGGAGACTTCATACCTGTACAGTTGCAGTATTCTCAACTGACTACAGGAAGTAACATTACACAGTAATGATTTGCAAGCAATAGCTATGATTCTTTTTTTATTTTAATATGAACTGGATTTTGTTCAATGTAAATTGCATGTAATACCCTACAGAAGTGTTAATTATGTGAAATACAGTAGAATAAAACTGAGGAAAAAACATATTTTTAAAGAAAACAGCTTTTAAGATATAGTGTTGATAAAACCAAGAGTAGCTCTTCTGGTGTACAGCCAGAACTTACTACTACTTACTAAAATCTGTGTGTCTTATTTCTCTACTGTACTAACCATGGGTGCCTCAAATGTCAACACCAAGCCCAGCACAAGACAGCAAGTACACATCGGAAAAGGAGACAGACTGCACCCAACTGAAAACACTGAGCCTGCCAATAGAGCACATAAATCACAAAAAAATTGTGACTACTGACTCCTGCTAAAGGGATCTAACAAGTTCATAGATTTGTAGAGCTAGGAAGGACTGAAGAAGTCATCTGCTGCTGTTCACCTAACAAACAATTCCTCCAGTGCAACTGAAGCCAATTGGCTCTTGTGATAGCTACTGGAAACACAAAAATAATAATCTTTCCCCTTACTGAACAAATTCTTCAGAACTTACATTCTCTCCCATTATTACCTCTTCAGACAAAAAAACCCCACCTCAATAAAATTTTCAATCTGTCCTTTAACAAAATCCTACTATATTAAGGTAGAATTATTCTCTTCTGGATACTTTCAAATTTGTCTGCATCTTTGGTTATTAAATAGCCCAGCTGCTGCAGAGCAATTGTTTCCTCACCTGACCAGCCATAAAGTATTTACCAACCAAATCCCATAAGCTCCACTGCCAGTCATTCTTACACTGCGGAGATTGCAGTGGCCTACTCTGTAAACAGATGGTAAATTCAAAAAGGAAGTGCTTACGTTTTTGAAACCTCTATATAGGATCTGAAGTTCCTTTTTTGTGAATTTGCTCTGTGCTTCCAGAAGTTCAAGAGCTTCAGGTCTATGTCGTACTGTGGCCATTTCCATTTCATCTTCTACAGTGTCTGCAGAATACAAGAGACAGAGAAGGAAAGCTCAACAAGAAATACAGGATGTAGAGTTATCTAACCTTTGCAGAAAAAAAGGAAGGTAAAGGGCATTCTCTTAAAGAACAGCTTTTGCAGCTTTAAAGGCAAATGATGTGTTCATTTTAAACTCACAGGGCAAGAGCATTTATCTGCTTCTGTGTCTGCAAGGAATAGCAATGATGATCCAGCAGTCTGGATATTACCACATCAGTACAAATAGAAATAAACTCAAAAGCCCAAATACCTTCAGTATGACTTCTGTTTCTATGACTCTCTGACCACAGAAAACAATTTTATAAAAAATATAGTGGCTACAGAAAATTTTCTTTTGGTTAGTCAATAGATGTGAATTCACTGTATCAGACTGGGATTTTCAGTGTTTTCCTTTTATTGTGAAGGTATGCTTTTGTGAAGTTGCGCTTTGGAAAGTGTGCGAGATGATGTTGCACACTCAACAGCAGATCTGACTCTGAATGTGGTACAACAAACCCTTCAGGGCAAGACAATTATTGATGGTGAGCAGCTTAAGTGGGGAACATGATGATTTTAGTGACCTCATCGTTAGATAAATAAGAATATGAATATACATATTCAAGGCTTACAGCTGAATGCAACCCTAAAAAAGGAGAATTAGCAATGTGTTTTTTTTTTCCAGGTAGAGTTTTAAATGTGAAAATTTGAAAAAAAATAGCTAAAGAAACTATACATAGCCATATATCTGATCAGACATAAAAATGTGTGCATGAATTTTTAAGTACTCCTAGTATTACACATAGCTTATGTAGTACTCCAGACCAATTTAATCAAATCATTGCCTTATTCTGGTTTAAGAGTTATACCAACTACAGAAATGTACCTTGAGAGAGCATGCTAATTGTCACTTGTGCAATGTTGAAGTTCTGTATTTTAATTCATTGGTTTTTTTAAAATAAATTTTTATTCAGTTTTATTTTCATAAGAGCAAAATATTAGGACACTCCATTAAAAAAGTGTTATTCTTGTATCTTCATATATTTTTGTTCAGTTACACTGCAGCAATGGTAACTTCCAGCTCCTTGGAAGAAATCTGGCATCAGAAGATAGAGCTCAGCTAAACAAAAAAAATTATCAACCTTTAAATAGATATAATAATATATGAACTACTAGAATAAATCTTCACAAAATTGTAGGGCCTTGTCTTTTCAACCGAGATGTTGCTGACAGCAGTCATCTCAGGAAGATTACAACACTCTTGTGTCAGAATGTCCAGTGTGTATCAACTTATGGACAAACTCTACTTTGTATCTCTTTCAATTTTCTTTAGATATTATCTCATATTACTCATAGATAAGTACCATAGTTGTGAAAACTTCTAATCTAAATGCTGCTGACACACCTCCAACTTGGCATTGACCTTCTGATGTTTGATAATGGTTTCAAAGAACTAGCACCTGAACTCACAAGGTAAGAAAATTTCAGCTCTCTTCTTTTACAAAGACACACTGAGGTGCAAAGAGAAGAGAGAGTCTTGAGAATCCTGCCTATATAGATGAAATAGGAATAAAGTGGTTCCAGAGTTAAATTTTACTAATCTATTGAAGGTGTAGCAAAGTTCTTGAGTCTCATTTTAATCCTGCATAAGAACATGCAGGGTTTGTTTTGATTTTACACAGTTTCTAGAACTTTTCTAGTATGTTTTAAGGGATTAATCTTTATATTCTTTATATAGTCACTAAAGCTTCTATGAAAATGCCACGCAGCCATTTTCTTTCTGTCAACAGTGTTACACTAGGTGCTTATACGAAATTGGCAAAAGAATCAACCTGAGAATAAACGTTGTTGAAAAGTCACTTGTGGTTTTATATGCCAAGAGTTATACAGGATATAAACAGGCTATTGCTTAAACAGAAAGGGACTTAACTGGAAATGAGCTCTCTAAGCATTCATTTGTGGAACATCTGGCTGCCTAGAGAGACATTCACAAGCTTTTCTAGAAGCTAAATGAATACAGATAAAAAATGTGAGGCTAGAGATAAAGGCCAGACAATGTGATGCTGAGCACAATCTTTGGCATATCCTTAGTAATGAAGTTTTTATTATGTTTTAATGACTTGATGAGAATGTAGAAGACTGCAGTATGGTGATGGTGTTGTCTTTCTCTCAATGAAGAGGTTCAGTACAACACTTTTTTCACATTCCATTTCTGTAGTATGTTATAGATATAAATAGTAAAAAATTAAGATCACGGTAAAGTTCCTTAAAATATGCCAACAATACTTATTAGAATACTATGATATTCATGAGCTGCTTACAGGTTTTAGTTTTTTTCTTCTTATGGCTACCATTATCCAGGCTAGAACTTAAAAATATACAGAGAAAATGTGTTAAAACATATCTATTTCTAAACATTAATGATTTACATGGCATTCATTGAAAACTAGTTTCTTCAGTCTAAGAAAGTTGAGAGCTTTTTTCTTTCATAAAAAGCAAACATGTCAACTGAAAAACAGAAACAAGCTCATATTTAACTTATTAATGCCTATAAGTATCAAAAGCATGGATGCAAGGAAGATGGAACCAGACTCTTTTCAGTAGTTCTCACTGACAGGACAAGGGGTAAAGGGCACAAGCTGGAACACAGAGTTCCATTTAAATATAAGAAAAAACTTCTTTACTATGGGAGTGACAAAACACTGGAACAGGTTGCCCGGGGAGGCTGTGGAGTCCCCTTCTCTGGAGATATTCAGGACCTGCCTGGATGCAGTCCTGAGTAACGTGCTTTAAGGAATCCTGCCTTAGCAGGGCAGTTGGACTGGATGATCTCTAGAGGTCACTTCCAACTCTGACAATTCTGTGATATTCACTCTGCTATATTAAAGAAAATATTCTTACTAATGTCATTAATGAGTAGCTTTCTTCTACCTAAATACTAAAGACAGATTTTAATGTATTTGTCACATGATCTATACTTTAAACCTTTCATTGTTGATTAAAGAACAAAATGGTAAAAGCAATGCAAAAAGCAGACACACACTTCAAATAACAGCAGCTGAAGAAGCAGGTCCAAAGGCAGAGCTCAGTTCATATCTGTAAAAATTGTGCACATGCATTTGCCTGCACAAACCCCAAATTATAGCTCCACTATCTAGTGAATAACTGCATGAACACACATTTCTGAAACCATTCTTGAGCATAGTTCTATCTCTAGCACATTAATTTAGCTAAGGAAGAATGGATTTAAGTTTAGACTTTGTAAGCTAAAGTACACAAATAAGAAAAAGCATTCTGTGACGTGCCTTATTCTTTGGAAATGCTAAAATAAGATTTTATTTATTCAGGTAACTTTATCTTTACATATTGGTGAAAGTTAGGTACAGGAGTACAATTCAGGCTATGTATATTTCAAAAAAATACTTGCTTTAAAAATATTCCCCTTAAAATTTCTATGGAATTCACATTATGTGGCTGTTACTGTACATAGTGCTGACTTTGTTCTTAGCACATTATGATGTTGCTTCTTTAACACTAGAAGAAATCAAACGGCACATTTTGTCAAAATGGGATAATAACAATGTGTATCTACAATGACATTCTTATTTCATACAATATTTTAATTTAATATAACATTCTTACTTAATATAGCACTTTAGTGTTAACAAGAGTACAGAGAACAATGCTGAGTGCATCTTTTATCGCTATTTAGTTCTCAGATATGAAACATTTAATCTAAGTTTTATTTCTATTTCTGTTTTACAAAACACTTCCAGAAAAAAAAAAAAAGTATTTTCAAGATATAAATATTTTTGTGTCACCTGTGCAGACAAAAAGCTTGCATAGATATGTGCAAGGAATAAGGATGTGCTGCTCTTCAACAAACTTTAAACAAAGAGATCATACCTTCTGTTTTAAGTCCTTTTTCTACTCTATGCCCCATCATTTGAAATGTTGAAGGACAGGTTAGGTGATGTTGGAATAGATGATTTTAAAGATCTCTTCCTACTCAAGTTTTTCTGTGATTCCTTTTATAGTCTCAGGGAATATTACTCAGGCTAGGTACTGAAACCAGCTTCTATGTAATGATTACTATCAGGTGTGACAATAATTGACCTTCTTAAGGTATCCTATTTTCAAGTAAAACACATCAGCTGAAGCCACCATGAGAAACAACCACTTTGCATCCACATCTTTAGTCCTTTTCATGCTTGAGATCTCAAATACTTAGAAGGAAAAGCAAGTACCTCAGTTTTCTTTACAGACACGGATATGAAAGATAGTGAAGTGGGATAGCAAAAAGAAAACCTGTCATTATCCATGAATTCTAGGTTTTTAACTGGAACCTGTGTTAATAGCCAAGTTGTCTTAGGTTCTCCTGTAGTCACTGGACATGGGGAACTGCTCTTAGGGGCATTTTTTTACCTTATATTGATCTATATGCTTTAACAGTATACAGGCTGCACAGGGACCACTCAGTTTCTAATTTTAGGTGCCCAGACTTTTGCCTAGAATTAAGCCAAATTAATATAGACTGAATGAGGCCCACAGGGATATTTTAAAATGAGTTATAGTAGCTGATTTATATAGGAAGACATTAGTGTTATTTCTATAATTAATCTCTTAATTAATCTGCTATTACTATAATTAATCTAAGTGTATATATATGTAGGAATGTGTATGGGTCCCTCCCTTTTCTTTCCCCCCCCTCTCTTTTCCCCCATATCTCTTTTCCCCCCATCTCTTTCCTCTGCCTCTTCCCCCCACCTCTCTCCCCCCCCATTTCTCCCCTCTTTTTTCCCCTCCTATCTCTTCCCCCTTACTTTTATGTCAGCTGCCCTGGAGAGATTTTTTTTCCTCACAGCATATCCAGCCAATAATCGTAGAGTCAGCGTGCTATTTCATCATCTCCCCATTCACAGAGTTTTTTTCAATTTTGTTATTATTTTTCTCTCAGATACAAACTTTAAGTCCTGTTCCCTAAATCATTTGATGTTATATAGTCA